ATCGGAGAGTGGATCGGTGCCAACAAGCACACGATCTACAACTTCAGCCCCCACGCCCGTCCTGTGCCTCTGGAGCTTCACCTTCAATCATTCACCATCCCTCACTTCCCCTCTGCCATGCTCGCGATGGCTCGCCCAGCCTACCAGTCGATTTTGCAGCTCTCCCCCGACAAGCCTGCTCTAGTCTTCGTTCCAAGCCGCAAGCAGGTCCGTGCGACCGCAGCGGATCTCCTCTCGGCGTGTGCTATCGATAACGATGAAGATCGTTTCCTGAACGCTGATGTCAGTGAGCTCGCTCCTTTGCTTGAGCGTGTCCACGAGCAGACCCTTGCCACATCACTTTCTCACGGTATTGGCTACTACCACGAAGCTCTTAATGCCACCGATAAGCGCATTGTCTTGCACCTATTCAGCATTGGTGCGATTCAGGTGCTTTTGGCTTCGAGAGATGTGTGCTGGGAACTGGATATCACGGCTCACTTGGTCATCGTTATGAACACTCAATTCTTCGATGGTCGTGAGCATCGCTACATTGACTACCCCATCAGCGATATCTTGCAGATGTTCGGCAAAGCCTCCCGTCCCGGTCAGGACAAGCTTGGCCGTGGTGTCCTTATGGTCCCAGCAGTGAAGCGCGAATACTACAAGAAGTTTTTGAACGAGGCCTTGCCTGTTGAGAGTCACCTGCAGGTCTACCTCCACGATGCCTTTGTGACAGAAGCCAGCACAAGGACCATCTCCTCCACCCAGGATGCGGTTGATTGGATGACATACACCTATTTCTATCGCCGTCTCCTTGCAAACCCCAGTTTCTACGGTCTTAGCGACGTGAGTCACGAGGGACTCAGCACGTTCCTGTCAGAGCTGGTGGAGAACACATTGAAGGAGTTGTCAGTGGCAAAGATCATCGACGTTGATGAAGATGATGACAGTGTGTCGCCTTTGAATGCTGCCATGATCGGCGCTTACTACAACATCTCGTTCATCACCATGCAAACCTTCTTGTTGTCTCTCTCGTCCCGGACGAAGCTCAAGGGTATCCTGGAGATTGTCACCTCAGCGACTGAGTTCGAGTCTATCCAGATGCGTCGCCATGAGAATCACATTCTCCGCCGGGTGTATGATCGTGTACCGGTCAAGATGTCAGAGGTTTCCTTCGACTCTCCTCATTTCAAGGCCTTCGTTCTCCTCCAGGCTCACTTCTCCCGCATGCAGCTCCCTCTTGATCTTGCCAAGGATCAGGAAGACATTGTTCGTAAGGTCCTTAACCTGCTCAGCGCTTGTGTGGATGTCCTCTCATCCGAGGGTCATCTCAATGCGATGAACGCAATGGAATTGTCCCAGATGGTGGTTCAGGCCATGTGGGATCGTGACAGCCCTCTGAAGCAGATTCCCCACTTCTCTCCTGATGTGATCAAGGTGGCCAACGAATACAAGTATGTATCATCAGAAAGGTCTCTAGAGACATTTACTAATCTACCTTTGTACAGGATCAATGATATCTTCGAATTCATGGAGGCCATGGACCCGTCGGAGAACAAGGACTACGCTGCTTTGGTCAAGCGCCTCGGCCTCGATAACAAGCAATTGGCGCAAGCCGCGGCTTTCACCAACGAGAAGTACCCCAACATCGAGCTCGATTTCGAAGTTGAGGATGCCGAGGGCATCACTTCGGGCGAACCCGCATACCTTAAGGTCAAGATTGAGCGGGACATCGAAGAAGATGAAGAGCCTGATGCTACCGTCCACGCACCGTTCTACCCCAGCCAGAAGATGGAGAACTGGTGGTTGGTTGTTGGTGACGAGAAGACCAAGAGCCTGCTGGCTATCAAGCGTGTCACCATCGGTCGCAAGCTCGAGCTGCGCTTGGAATATGTGGTCCCTACACCCGGAGACCATGAGTTGACGCTCTACCTTATGAGCGACAGCTATGTCGGCGTTGATCAGGCTCCCACGTTCAGTGTCAATGCGGCAGAGGGAATGGAGGAGGATGAAAGCGAGGAAGAGGAAGAAGAGTAAATGTCATGATCTTTACAGTTTGTAATAATATTTATGTTTCCGAAGCCTTAGAATACAACATGTCTTCTACATAGTTATGTTACTGCTTGGTTATCTCCGATGTAACATTGTAGATGCAAATGCCTGCAAGGTACAAGGCGCTTAACCCAATCAGGACCATATCCCCCCCGCATGATCACGTTGCTCCCCAACCTCCTCTTCTCCTCTCCAACTCTTTCTTCCTAACCCTATTTCTCTCTTTGATATCAATAGCATACGCAATTGTGTTTTACGTATTTTGTTTATCTTAAGAGCCTGTTGATACCTTCATCTAAGCTCAATCCGTGGAAGCTCCTCCGAGCTTCCTATCTTATCTCCCATACGATCTGATATGGCCATCCGGAACATGAAGTTCACTCCCGAGTAAGTAGTGTCCATATCATTGGCAATTTAACAGCAATCTTCATTGGGCATATTTGAGAGCATCGGACTGACACCGACCCCTCTAGGGTTCTGCTCGGAGCACCCAGGCGGTCCTCAGCCGTTCCCAATGCGGCCGGCACCCTAGCAGTCTACACGCAGACATCCTACTCTTTCGAGTCTCATTCCAAGACCAATGAAATCCGTGTTATTGATATCAGCTCCGGCCGCTCTGCCCTTATCACCAACGACCCCGGCGCCAGTAATCCACAGTGGGTGGACGATAGCGACAAACTTGTCTGGCTAAAGAACAAGGGCAATGGCAATACAAGTTTTGTTGTTGGCGATGCCCGCCAGGCCGATGAAACATACACCGCGGGCACTGTCCCAGGCCCCGTATCGGACCTGAAGGTGACCCTTCTGGAGCCAGGAAAGGTCGGCTTCGCCGTCACAGGCAAGGCCAATACAGACGGATCGCTATACAACCCCCATGATGCGAAGAAGCCCCATACAACCGGTAAACTGTACACATCTCTCTTTGTTAGACACTGGGACTCGTATGTCGAGCCCCAGAAGAACGCGATCTTCTATGGCTTGCTGGAACAGGCTCCTCTGTCGCCGGCCCGTCGACGGGCTGGAAAGTACTCGATCTCGGGCCTTACAAACTTGATCGCGGTCTCAGGACTGGCAGGCGTGGAGTCGCCGATTCCGCCTTTTGGTGGTACTGGGGACTTTGATATTAGTCCATCAGCTATTGTCTTTATTGCGAAAGATCCCAGCCTGAACCCCGCGACCCACACCTCTTGCTCTTGCTATTATTCTCCCATGTTCTCGTGGACTAGCATGAGCATGACTGAGCCTGAACCGAAAATCTGCAAGGTTGCTGGTCTTCAGGGAGCGATGTCGTCTCCTGTACTTAGCTCGGACGGTAGCTCTATTGCTGTTCTAGCGATGCGCGAGGATGGCTATGAGTCTGATAAGAACCGTATCTTGTATGTTCCCAATCCATGGAATGGAGAGATGATCGAGATTTTCCAGTCAGACGATGGGAAAGGACACTGGGATCTCAGTCCCTCGGCCGTGTCGTTTGCCCATGATGACAAGTCGCTGTTCCTTCATGTCGAGGAGGCCGGCCGCGGAGTTCTGTACCAGCTGCCGCTGGAGAATGCGCATACGATCAAGCCTGAGTCTCTAAAGAGACTGACCAGATCGGGATACGTGAACGACGCCGTTCCCGCGGCTGCCAAATCCTCCAAGCTGCTTGTCTCTAGCAGCAGCCTGGTTGATAACAGCCTGTGGACTATTATCGATCCAGCCCACCCAGATGATGTCCAATTGGTATCCTCAAACGGGCGGGGTGGCAGTGCATTCGGCTTGTCCTCGTCCCAGGTCGATGAGATCTGGTTCAAGGGCGCCGAAGATCACCCTGTCCACGCGTGGGTGGTGAAGCCGTCCGACTTCAAGCCCGGGAGCAAATACCCGCTTGCGTATTTGATCCACGGTGGACCGCAGGGCGCGTGGAATGATCAGTGGAGCACGCGCTGGAACCCTGCTGTTTTCGCCGAACAGGGTTACGTCGTGATCACCCCCAACCCAACAGGTAGTACTGGTTACGGACAGCCCTTCACCGATGGAATCCAGGGACAATGGGGCGGTCGACCCTACGAGGACCTAGTCAAGGGATTCGAATATATCGAGCAGCACCTGGATTACGTCGACACCACGCGTGCGGTTGCGCTGGGCGCCTCGTACGGCGGTTACATGATGAACTGGATGCAGGGTCATCCCCTCGGCCGCAAGTTCAAGGCGTTAGTCACCCACGACGGAGTGTTCAGCATGACCTCCCAGATGGCTAGTGAAGAGCAATACTTCCCTCTCCACGACCTGAAAGGGCCGATCTGGAAGGTGCCAGAGAACTGGGCGAAGTGGGATCCGTCGCGGTTCACCGAACACTGGAACACGCCTCATCTGATCATTCACAACGAGTTGGATTACCGTCTGACCATCGCTGAGGGTCTGGCTGCGTTTAATGTTCTCCAGATGCGCGGAATCGACAGTGCATTCCTGACGTTCCCTGACGAGAATCATTGGGTCCTGAACCCTGAAAACTCTCTCATGTGGCACCAGACTGTGTTGAACTGGATTAACAAGTACGCGGGTATCCCGGCCGTGTCAGAGGAACCTGATTTGTCACGCGGAGTGGGCAGTCTGTCGCTGTGATATAACAATAGTCTCTTTGAGTTGGCTGTTTGGGCCTATGGGGGAAGACTAAAATTGAATATGAAACGTATATGATGGATATTTATGAACATGGTTATTGTTCTTTTCTTAGAAACAAAGGAATAAGAAGGAGGTTCTATTTGAACCTCGCCTTGATTAGAGAACTCAGAACGATGTCTTTGTGTTATAAAGAAGAGGTTGTTTGGGAACATTTCATCTCATTGTCCATGATTCTTTGAGGGTATGGACAATCACATACATTTCATATATATAAGTTGTCCTTGATTTCCTCGATTTGCATCCCTCATACAGCATATAGTATACTTTATTTTGTTATTCCCTTAGTATATCAACCCAGCCAAATGGACAACGACCCCCCAACCCCCGACTCCCCTCACAGCATCAGCTGGCTCTCCGAACGAACCCTCTCCATTTCCACCTCAACAACCACAACCCTAGCAGACACTCCAAGTCCAATGAGCATGTCCTCCCCAAGCATAACACCTATAGAGTTCACCGAATCCCCCATTCCAATTGAATACCGCCAGGTCTTCTTTCGCGAGAGCCCCAACTTCCACCCTCATTTCCTACCCCTCCTCCGCCACCTCTCCTCCCACCTCTGGCCCCTCATCAACTGCGAAACAGGCCTCCAACACCCAGACTTCCCACCAAATATGCTGGCCTACAACCTTATGACCTCGGAGCAGGTCGATAATCTTGCCCGTCATTTCCATCAGGTTTACCCGCCCGTTCCCGCTACGTTTAATTATCCTGTTTGTATTACCCCGTGGATTGGGACGGCGGAGGAGAAAACTATTGATCTTCCGACGAGGGTGAAGAGGTTGGGGAGATTTTTTGGGTTGAGGGGATGTGAAGAGCAGGAGCAGGAGCAGGAGGATGTGGATATGGATATGGATGATGAGAATGGGGGTGGGAATGATGAGAATATGAGTGAAGCTGAAGCTGAAGTACTACGACAGATGGAGTGGGAGTGGCAGCAGGCATTACAGAGGGCGTATGCTGAGGAGTCGCATAGGTGGAATCTGAAGTGATTTTTGATTTTATTTCGATCTATTTCGATCAATAGACTAGTCAATAAACTTTTCATAGAGAATATACAAATATACAAATATACAAAATATAGAACGTGCAGGCTATACTATTTCCCCGGAATGTGGATTTAGCCGTCGGTTAAAAGAGTTGTATAGACAAGACATAGGCTAATAGGAGGTTAATAGGAGGCTAATAGTGGGATAATGAGGGGAATAACGGGAGTAATATGGGGTAATTGACTAGTAGGATGGTAGAATAGCAGAGAATCAAATATTAATATCCTTCAATCCCCTTCTTACATCTTCCCATCTGTACACTCTTGTCTATAACCTCACCACCATCACCAAAATGTCCAAACCACTAGTCTCCCACATCTACACAGCCGACCCCTCTGCCCACGTCTTCAACAACAAACTCTACATCTACCCCAGCCACGACCGCGAAACAACAATCGCCTTCAACGACAATGGCGATCAATACGACATGGCCGACTACCACGTCTTCTCCATGGACGCAATCACCAGCCCTGTAACCGACCACGGCGTCGTCCTCCGCGACAAAGACATCCCCTGGGTCTCAAAGCAACTCTGGGCACCCGACGCCGCAACAAAAAATAATAAATTCTACCTCTTCTTTCCGGCCCGTGACCAAAAGGGTATATTCCGTATCGGTGTCGCTGTCGCCGATTCACCCGAAGGTCCGTTCGTCCCGCAGAAGGATTATATCCAGGGAACGTACAGTATCGACCCTGCTGTCTTTGTGGATGAGGATGCCGGTGGCGAGGCGTATCTCTATGTTGGTGGGATTTGGGGCGGGCAATTGCAGTGTTGGGTTGAAGGGAAGGATGAGGATGAGGATGGAGAGGGGGAATGGGTTGATGGGGATAAGGGTGGTGTTAATGGACAGAAGAAGAGACTTGTTTTCGACGAGAGCTTGTCTGGGCCTCATGAGCCTGCTGGAGAGGGCGTTCGCGCGCTTTGCCCGCGTGTTGCGCTGTTGAAGGATGACATGTTATCGCTGGCGTCGTCGGTTAAGGAGGTTGTTATTCTTGCGCCGGAGACTGGGGAGCCTTTGTTGGCGGATGATCATGAGAGGAGATTCTTTGAGGCGGCTTGGGTGCACCGGTATCAGGGGACCTATTATTTCTCGTACTCGACGGGTGATACGCATTTCTTGGCTTATGCCACGGGGTCTTCGCCTTGGGGTCCGTTTACCTATCGGGGACACATTCTGGATCCGGTGCTTGGGTGGACGACGCATCATTCCATTGTTGAGTTCCAGGGGAAGTGGTACTTGTTTTATCATGACTGTGAGCTTTCGGAGGGGGTGGATCATTTGAGGTCAGTGAAGGTGAGGGAGATTGTTTACGATGAGGAAGGGGCTATTCATCTTGCCGAAGAACAAACTCCTGTGCAATAGATATTTGAATTGAATGGATGGTTTATTGAAACTGTGCAAAGTAGAATGTAACCGTACGTCTATTCTAATTGCACATGCCCTTCTCCCAGTTCTCTTGAACAAGCTTCCAGTATTGCTCGCGAGAACGTTCGCGGAATGTCTTTCCAAACCTGATCATAACGAAGAAGACTGAAGCACATGCCATGCCAATAAAGGCAGCAGAGATGAAACAGTTCTGGTACCCCATGTTATCGATCCAAGGCGTGATACTAAATGAAGTTAGTGTTTGTCTTCTGCCAGAACTGGAGAAGAAAAGAACCTACCCATATCCAATTGCAAAAGACATGGTATTTCGAACCAGAATCACACTAGCCATGGCAATGCCACTCAGCTCTCGGTAGCTGTCAATAAAGTAATTGACACTAAGCGTAATGCCACAGGTGCTCGTGAAGGCCAGAATGCACATTCCAACAATGAGCCCAAACCAGTGGATCTCATGGGCAGCGCCTACACCCCAAAGAATAAGGGAACAAGGCACAAGCACCACACAAGCGAGGAAGGGCCAGAGACGGTGCTCTGCCTCCATGACACCATTGTTCCGGCGGGCAAGTTTGATAGTGAGCCAGTCGCTGAATCGGCCAGTGAAGAAGGATCTATTTCTGTCAGCGTTGGTTGTAATATCGGGCCAAGCTGAAGAACTCACGCCAGGATTGCCCCGATGATGGGCGCTACATAACTCAGACCGACCATGGAAGATCTGTAACAGGTTAGCTTCGTTCATCGGGTGATAAAATAATAAGACTGACCCAAAGTTATATGGCTCCCCGCCAAGAATGATAGAGGCTGTTCCATTCAAGATGTTGAAGTATACCAGATAGGATCCGTAAGAGAAGCTTTGTGCATGTTAGTCAAACATGCATATCAAACCCGGAAATATTGTATCCATTACCCAGCGTAGAAGATAACGGGCCATGAGAGGAAGTAAATACACTGCCAGAGTCGCCGGAACAAAGTGTTCTGCTCCTGGCTCGGTCCCCAAAGCGCCAATTTCTTCACATACGACTTCTTGGTGTGGCCCAACCTGATACTAACCCCAGCGGCAGCTTCCATGTCAACAGCGGCAGATTTCTCCTTTTCGCCGTCCGAGCTAAGTTTGGGGGATTCTGTGGTTATGATAGACCTAGGCTCGTCGGGCTGTGTGCGAGTATAGTTTGTTTCCTCGCAGAAAAAGAAGAGGAAGATAGTTGCACAGCCAACGAAGATGCTCGGCCAGTAGAATACCCATCGCCAGCCCTGGTACTGGGCGATAAAGCCACAGATGACCGGCGCAAAGTAGTTACTTCCTGCTAAGAAGAATGCATAAAGACCCATGTATGCTCCTCGCTCGTGGGTGAAATACTGCTGCTGTGTGAGCATCGGGTTCTTTCCTAAGGTGGGTTTAACTTACCACGTCCGTGACGGAGATCTGAGGAAGCGCTTCCACGGGTGCTGTGAAGAAACCCAAGACGATGTTTCGCGCGAGCCATTGACCTTTAGTGCTTGCGTATGGTCTGAGCGGTGTTAGTTGTTAGTCATATCTCATTGCAGACATGGCATGGTACTTCACTTACCCCCACATCGTCATACCCTAGCTTTGTTAGCTATAATTCTCAAATATCCAACCGATTCAGGATGAGGTACCAAGATTCCTATCAATGACAACATGTACGTCGGACGCTTGCCATACTGCATAGCGAAAGGTTGCCAAAACAGCAAGCCCCAGCCGGCCAACAAGAACATGTACCCGCTTCCCTCGTTCAAGGTACTGATGGGCAATCCCGTTTGTTCGTGTAGCGGTGTAATCACTGAGTAAACGACGGAGCAGGCAATTCCTGAGAACAGTGTATAGCTAGAAACACGAAATATCAACACTGATCCCTAGGTCAGGTTGTCGTAACCTGTACTCACATGCTCACGCAAGCAGTTGACAGAAGTTTCCGTCTTCGAGACCAATTGAGGGGGTCATCTGGGTCATTTGATGGGGTAGGGATCAATACTATGTCACGGTCTCCATGGTCCAAGTGCCGGGTATGTAAGACATGATTCACGTCCACCAGAGTCACGGTGCCAGGAACGACTGAGCTGTCGATGACTGGCGCCATGGTGGAGTACTGTTCCGATGCGATGTGTGTATGTGGTTAATTCAAGAAAACTCTCAGGTTCCAGTATGAGAGAGGGTTCCCGAAGAAAGGGTTTAAATCAAGGAAATATGTGAGAAAAGGGATAAAGATAAGGGGACAGGGGACATGGTGTCTTAAAGGGGAAGATCGACCTCTTGATTGCATTGAAGACATGAAGACATGAAGACATAAAGACATAAAGACATCAGGGAGATAAGAGAGTTGGAGTCTATCTTCCCCGCAAAACTGGCACTTGGGCGATATTCTGTTTATATTGTATCTCTCTCTCTCTCTTTGACCTTGGCTTGAACGCTTATATGGTCTTGGGTTATTTTGGAGTATCTTTTCGACCAATCATTCACTTCAAAGTATAGATATCTCCAATTAACTGGGAATATACGGAGCACATCGGTATTTAGTCCGACGCTTATGATACTTATCAGACCAACCAGACAGCACTGACAGCACTGACACACTGACACACTGACACACTGACACACTGACACACTGACACACTGACACACTGACACACTGACACACTGACACACTGACACACTGACACACTGACACACTGACCAGGCAATAGATTACCTCCCTATTTAGGACAGAAACAACTCAACCAAGTCATAGCTTCGTTTCCATAATGCCTCTGCACTTTCTTCACCCGCTGGGAAGTCGAGATGTGGTAACTTGGGTATCTGACAATGGTCTAGAAAGGCTCCAGATTGGACTGATCTCCTCATATCCACCAATCAGTAACATGCATCCCCCTGTTTATCTGGTTATCTGGTTATCTCACCTTCGAGCTCCGGATCGAGCAATCCACGCAACACTGTGGCACTCCCCTGCGCAAGGGATTTCGGCGCTTGTTGTAAAAGGACCGGTATATCCTCACCGGCTGGAAATCCGGTCAAATCAAATGGTTCTCGCTATCTGTTATCAGAGACATACCTTCTTTCTTTCGCTGCAGCCAGGATTTGATCTCATCCCATGCCACATATGTCTGAACGTTGGTTTTGGTAACTGGATCCAATAAGAATGATTACACATTCACCAATCTCTCAATTCTGACTCACTTCCAGGATTTGCAGAAAACGCAGCGATCGATCCGCGATACTTCTTCGCAATAGACTTGATAAACAAGATGATCGCGAGCATCGACTGCGAATATCCATCGAGACTGTGGTAATTTTCTCCATTCTATCCGAATCAACATATACCACCAGCAGACATATAGTATATATCCCAACAAAAGCAAACTCACCTCAAACTCCAAATCATCCCACGAGGGCGCAGGCGCCTCATTCCGCAAACTAGACGTAACCAGAACAACTCTCGACCGATGTCCCATAACATCACACAGCAGATTCAACAGCAGGAAATAACATAGGTAGTTCTTCTGGAAATGAGACTCGACTCCGTCCGCCGTGAGTTCCCACGGTACAGCCATGACATCGGGAAACCCAATGAACCCGTCGATCGACACGCCCAGGGTCTTGATCGTATGAGCTGCCTCGCGGAATGAACTAAGGCTGCCCGGATCGGCCGTCACAAAGATCATCTCGACCGTTTTGTATTTCCGGTTGATGTGGTCGATCACAGGTTGCAGTTCGGACTTGGAGCGGCCCGTGTATATTATGGTCTTTGCGCCACCGTGGGCGAGGGCGTCTGCCGTTGTGGCCGCGAGATCGCCTCGTTTGAGACCGGCGATTAGGACTATCGTGGGAAACTGGTTAGTTTATATACCGGGTCTGTTGGGGTTGTGGCGGTACATGTTTTTTGCTTCACCCGCTCTGGGAACATCTTCGTCACGTTCGCCCCCTGTGTCTTGTCATCGAAGGTATTGCTCATTGTGCTGGATTCTGTTTAGCTTGGGTTGATCGGTTGATCTCTAGAGATGCCTATGCCTGCTTGATTTGAATCGTGCACAAGCCCGGAATTTCGTCATCATGAAGCCATCTCGGAGTATATATTCGACCTCACATGGGAGCAAGTATTATATTGATGAATATCAAAGGGAATTATAGGTTGCAACTCATAGACACGCTTGAGAACTCCAAACAGCAAAAACGTAGTGGTCAGCCCTGATATCAGGAAATTCAAATTCGCATTCATAATGTACAGCTAAAGGAATCGCGCGCATACGGAGCCTGCCGGTCAAAGGAAAAGAACGCGGACAAAATAGGAAACACACAGGATCCTGTAGACCTTAGTGTGATGGACCTGCCACGTCGTCTTCCGGCATCTGATCAATAACACCCTTCATGAGCTCAATAAGCTCATCAATGTCGGGCCGTTCCGAGGGTTCAACCGTGAGACACCTCCGAACAATATCCTTGACGGGTGCACTGATCGCAGGGTCGTCATTTTTGGATGAATCCTCGCTTTCGCCCGACTTGGATTTACCCTTGGAAGCGCCTGACTTCTCATCAGGGAATCGCCAGTCACCGCCAAGAACACACATGCTCAAGCTTCCACCGGTCTCTTCACTGCGTGCCTCGAAGGGACTCTTGCCCACGAGACAGGCGTAGAGTGTACACCCAAGCGACCAGATATCCACCTTGGTGTCAATGATTGACCCTGTCTTGACATCGAAGAGCTCCGGTGCACGGTATGGCATCGTGCTGTGTTCTGCTGCGGTATCCTGTACCGCCAAGGCGAGCGAGCGCGACGTAATAGCGATGGGGCTGGGCGCCAAAGAGCCCAGATCCATCAGAATGGGCGATTGCCCGTTGTTGTCAATCATGATGTTTCCTATAACGATAGTTAGCTCGTCGGATCGATTCGGAATTTCGGCACTAGCCAAAATGTAATCTCACCTGGCTTGACATCTCGATGCGCATAGGGCCGCAGATCCCCATCCTCGACACCTTCCTGACTCCGGGTGACCTCGTCATCCATCAGGGGGGCATTCTCCTCATCCGCCTCATCCTCCGCTATGCGCTGGCTAGCCCTCCGTTTCGGTTTCATCTGCATGGTCCGTTCCTCGTCTGCCTCCTCGCCTTCTCTCCGAACACCCTTCGCCTTTCGCGTAGCCGCCGACCCGCTCTTCACCCGATACTGATGCATCGAGCGAAGCGCATCGGCAACACCGAGTATCAGGACCATCAACCGCTTCTCTGGGAATTTGGTATGGTTGACCAGATTGGCATTGATGGCATCCTGGAGATTACCGCGCTGGTAGTATGGGAGTAGGATATAGACCGTCTTCGAGCCCGGATCTCCACCATCGGATCTGAATTTCGAGCCGGATTCTGTGGATACGCAGTGATCGATCGAGTGGATGATGTTGGATTGGGAGTTGAAGATGTTGTAGGCTTCGACTTCTTTCAGGGCTTGTGATACGGATTCCTGACCAAACGGACAGCGGATCTTCTTCAGCGCAAATAATTCGGAGCTCGCTTTATCTTGGACTAGGTAGACGTAGGAAAATCCGCCCTGTTGCGTTGTCAGTTCAGACCAGCTTGCAGTTATCGTTATCGGGTATCCATACCTCGCCCAACAAACGTAGGAGCTTGAAACTCCGGTTGTTGATCTTTAGCTGTGGAGAGCTGGGAAAGCAACACATGCAATCCGTGAAGTTGTACAGGAGGTCGAAGAAGTATTGCGCCATGATGTATAATGCGATGGTAGGAGGTAGAGGGTAGAGGTGTCGGGGCCCGGGGACGTCCGGTAGGTAGATGCGCAAGATTTAGTACAGAATAGACAAGATCGTCGTCGATTAGAGATACAGAGAGGTAAGGATTGTATATGCAAAGGAGAGGGGTGGAAGGTGAAGATGTCGGTTGGCATTACGTGGAGTGGAGTCTTTTATTTGTTGTCTTGTCCCCCCCCCTATCTCTTGTTATATTGGAATTGGATTTCTCGATACACACACACTCTCTCTCTCTCTTTTCTCCCATATTCTAACTGGTTCAGCTGGGAACTAGTTGAGTCTGTCTTTTTCATTTGTCTGTCTTTTTTTTCCCCCTCTCTTCCTAATCATGGAAGTTGGGCCTTCAACTTAGTATCCTTGCATTCTCCTAACGCTCCCTCTACACCCTTGACTTCTGTACCCTTCCAAGGGCTATTGATATTCGCCCGGACCTCTTATTTAACAGTCGCATCTCACCTTTTCTTTTTTTTTCTATTCATATCGTTAATATCTCTCCGCAATGGCGCACCCCGATGATATACAGGTCGGTGACGTGGTGAATGTCCCCGGTGGCATGCATGGGACAATTAAATACTTGGGATCGGTAGCGGGGAAGGCCGGGCGATTCGCAGGTGTTGAACTGAGCTCCGAACACGCGCAACGCGGCAAAAACAGTGGCGATGTCGACGGCCGGAAGTACTTCGCAACCTCGATCCCGGGTTCTGGCATATTCGTTCCCATGAACAACAACAAGTATGTCACAAGGCGATCCTCGAATATCTCTACTCCGACCACTCCTGCACGTGGGGGACCCGTCAACTTCAGCAAATCTGTCGGTACGGCTCTTACAACCCCCCGCCCTCGAGTCCGAAGACCCTCTCTCCCTCGACCCGAATCCCCGCGCGTGCCCCCTCCTCCAAAACTAAGTTTGGCCGGTTTGCGTACACCATCGGCAGCATCCAGGACTAGCGGGATGAACAGCGCTATGCGTAGCCCCGTCAAGGCTCCGTCTCGGCTGTCTGATAGACCCTCGTCACGACTGAGTGTGGATGATGATTCGTCGTCGTATGGACGGCCATCGGACTTCCGCCGGCCGCCCTCGTCGGAGACTCAAGACTTGAAGGATCAGATCAAAAGTCTAGAGAAGCAGCTTCTGGACCGAGATAAGCAGCTCGATGAGCAGTCTGGGACTTTGAGCGAGTTCCAAAAGACATTGGAAGAGATGGAGGGATCGGAGGGTCAATCGCTCCGTACACAGCTACGCGAACGCAACGAGCGGATTACCCAATTAACAGCCGAATTCGACGTCCACCGCGCAGACTTCAGAAGCACCCTTGACACATTGGAGATCGCAGCCTCCGAAACAGAACGCGTGTACGAACAGCGTATCGACGAGATTATGCAGCATAATAAAGAACTGCAGGACCGCGGCGAAGATGTTGAGGTTGTTGCGCAGCAGCTCAAGCAGTTGGAAGAGCTGGTCTCGGAGTTAGAGGAAGGCCTCGAGGACGCCCGGCGTGGAGAGGCCGAGGCTCGGGCCGAAGTCGAGTTCCTCCGCGGTGAAGTTGAACGCACCAAGTTGGAGCTGAAGAAGGAGCGTGATCACTCCGTCGCTGCGCTGAAAGATGCACACGCTACCGCAGACGGACCTCGAAGCAGTAGTGAATTGGACCAGAAGGATGATGAGATTCGAGGACTCAAAGCCATTATTCATTCATTGAGTCGCGGAAACCCCAGCGCGGCAGGTTTGGGACAGAACGGCTCGGCGGATCATGATCATAATCCGGAGCACGTTAGTCAGCTCGAGATTCGACTGCAAGAGGTGGAAGAAACCACAAACCGCAAAGACAATCGAATCGAAGAGCTCGAGCGTCAACTTCAAGAAATGCACCTGCAGTCTGGTGGTCGTCGCCGCAGCTCTACCATCACTCTTTCACCAAAGCAACACAGGACCTCGCACTCTGCCGGCAATATTTCCAACCACTCAAACAACCCCAACCCCAACCCCAACCCCAACCGTCTTTCTGATCGTACAGTGGTCCCGACCGACTGGCACGATGCTCCTTCGGAGCCCCGGCATCACCGCGGTATCTCCAACTCTTCTCAATCACGACTGGAGACCATGCATGAATCTGAACGCTCTTCCGACGAGGACACCATGTGGTGCGAGATCTGTGAAACAGGCGGCCACGACATCCTAAACTGCACCAGCATGTTCGGCTCTGGCCAGAACGCCACTGGACGGAAGAATCTTAAACATGATGCTGCCGATGAACTTTCCGATGAGCACCCAGTTGAGAAGACCGAACCCCTCCAAAGCAAAGCCTCCTCCATTCATTCCGATACCCCCCCTGCACTAAAGACAGGACGGGATGTGGTGATGGAAGGACTGAAGGGCATTGGCGGGCTGAGCTCATCCGTGGGCTCATCCATGGCTCCCATTGCCGGCAAATCATCGGGAATCATCGATGAATCTAAGTGGTGTGCTCTCTGTGAGCGAGATGGCCATGAAAGCATCGACTGCCCGCTTGATGAATAATAATGTTCTGGATATATTGGGGCATGAGTCCGGTGCATCACAAGATTGCAGCTCTCTGCTGCACGCATCTATGGGGTGTTTTTTCTAGTACATGATTGTTGGGTCGGTTACCCCGGTTAATAAATGGTGTTCTTTCGGGGGGGAGGAAGACAATTTGCAACACGGTAGGGGCTGTGTGCTTGTAATAAATACCATAACCTTGGTCATAATGAGATGTCGTTTTATACAAAGAGCTTTGCATGTCCGTTGTATCTTGACCTAGACTTGCATCACACTTTGGTATGTCGAGGGACGTATCTATCTCATTCTGTTCTCTTTTTTTTTTTCTTTCTATTCATACCACCATCTCAAAGTATGTTGGATTCGTCACTCATAACCATTAATGACCGAAAAATATTACAATTACGGCCTCACCAACCTCACCCTCTAATGGACCAGATCAGTATACACTATTCAGGATAATTCGGCGGCTGCACGATTTCCCCATCCTGGTACTTCGACGCTGCAATCTCTCCACAAGCCTTACACTTGCGCTTTTCCTCGTCGGCCGCAAACTCCTCAACCACAGCCTTAACCTGTGTCCCCAGGTCAACACACACGAATTTCTTCTCCCAGACAATCTCCTTGCAGCTCTTGCAATACCATCTCATAGCATCGACTGCATCCTTAGCCCGCGGCTGCTCCATCACAACACCGACTGTATCCTTGAAGCGCACGGGGCAATGTGGGGTATTTGCGGGCAGCAGGAAGATCGAGCCTTCGTGGATGGGGATATCTTGGAAACTAGGGGGTGTAGTTGAGTTGTTGACCGTCTTGAGGAGCATTGATCCACGGTATTGGTAGAAGAACTCTGGGGTTGTGTTGATGTGGAAGTCGGTTCGGGCATTTGGCCCGCCCACTATCATCACTGTGTAACCGGCTGTGGCTGGTGTTGAGGGGTGGTAGACACAGTAGTTGTTGACTGGTGGTTGGAGGAGATGGGAGTTTTCTTCGAGCCTGGATAGATGTCGTTAGCATGGATTTGGGGATAGCTTGCTTATGGGTCGTGTGATGAATCATATAGTGGGGGGAGGTATTGTAATAGATATATATGTGAAGTATTAACAGGGCTTACCATTTGGGGATGTTCAGCGCTGGAAGAAGCATCGTGAATATATCAAGATATGACCTTGTCAGAGTCTACTTTGTAAGTTTTTGTAAATGTCGCATGAGGTCGGAACCCTTTAGAAATCAAAAACGATGATCTGATCCCCGGAGATATCAGCCCCACCCCGGACTTAAAATACCGGCCCGGATCAACTTCCCTCCGTCAATTTTTCTTTTTCATATCTCGAATCCAACAGTCAAACTACAGTGTTTAACGGCGAGAGTCTTGACCAACCACACAAAATGGCCACCTCTCAACCCCCCCTTCGGTTTACATCCCATCACAATCTGGTATATCGTTTGGTCTTGTCCACCCTCACCGGTCGCACAGTCCACATTTCGCAAATTCGTTCCTCGTCGCCCACGAATCCGGGTCTTGCGCCTCATGAAATTTCTTTCCTCCGTCTCCTAGATGCAATCACCAATGGTTCTCAAATGGAGATCTCATACACAGGTACCGTGCTTGTCTACAAGCCGGGTTTGGTCACTGGCAGCACGGCCGGTACTGGAGCCAGTGGCGGCATGATCACCTACGAGATTCCGTCAAACTGTAACCGCGGTCTCAGTTACTTCCTGATCCCGCTCTGTCTACTGGCCCCCTTCGCCAAAGCACCCATGAAGGTGCTCTTCACAGGACCCGGTGTCATCACCTCGTCGACACAGACCGGAGATATGTCCGTCGACAGCGTTCGCACTGCGATCCTCCCTCTGTACAAACAATTTGGTATCTTCAACAACATCGAGCTCCGTATCTTGAGACGATCGAACACTGGCCCCACGGGTAGGGGTGGTGGTGGTGAAGTGCAGCTCGTGTTTGGCCACCAGGTCCGTCTGCCGAAGACCCTGCACTTGATGAACGCGGGCCGCATCAAGCGCATCCGTGGTGTTGTATACTCGGTTGGTGTGTCTGGCTCGAACAATGCTCGCATGATTGAGACTGCCCGTGGTATCCTCAACCCACTCAGCCCTGATACTTATATCTTCTCCGACGTTGCGTCTGCGCCTTTGGTCCCAGCTCCGGATAAGACCAACCCTCAGGCGAAGAAGAAGATCGGTCTTGGGTTTGGGTTGTCCCTGGTAGCAGAGTCCTCTACGGGTTGCCTCTTCTCAGCCGATGTGGCCTCTCCACCACAGGGTGGTCAAGCCCCCGAGGAAGTTGGAAAGCAGTGTGCATTCCAACTTCTGGAGACGGTTGCCAAGGGAGGTTGTGTGGCTCCTGCGGCTGCGACAACCATGTTCACTCTCATGACTATGGGCTCGGAGGATGTTGGGCGGCTGCAGGTTGGCCGAGATGTGATTGCTGATCCCAACGTTGTCCAGCTCGCCCGAGACCTGTCCAAGTTCGGTGCCCCTGGCTGGGGTATCCGTGATGCACCTGACAATGGAGATGGAGATGTGATTGTCAGCATTGTCGGTCGTGGAATCGGTAACGTCGGCAGAAAGGTTGCTTAAGCTGCTGTGGACGGCTTTCGCACTTCATCCCAAGTCTACCACCACTCTGAGGGCCGTCTTTGCCAAATAATTCGGGAAGTCTCGCCTCAGCAGTTCACTCTTTCCCAACAGACGGGGCCACGTGGTAGTCCATCAGATGCCGTCGGCGTCGCGAGCTTCTGGCCGTCTGTCCAGTGCGCGCCAGCTCCAAGAAGCTCCAGACGTTCCAAGGCTTGACTGTCGAGCATGAACTCGACCTGTCGCTCCACTGCGACGAAGCCATGTGCGGCAAAAGACTGCTTTTTCCTGTCATCATGATACCCAAACAAAACTTGCTAGAGCAAGGTGACAATCTCTTACATAGGATTCAATATCATTGTCTTCTCTTCTACTTCTACTTCTACTTGTACTTGTACTTCTACTTCATACATATTGACGTTGACATAATGGTGACATACACATTGCCCGGGTGATCAGGTAAAAGTGTATCCTGAGGCCATCGACTCTATTGTTTATAAATACCCCTCTCTCTCCCTTTTTCCTCTTCTCTTCTTCATCTCCCCAACTCTTTTTCTCCCCCCATCCTTCATATTTCATCTTTATGCACCCCCTCCCTTCCCTTTCCCACTCTCCATCTTACATTTCATCTTTCGGGTTTCTTGTTTGCCATTTATCCCCCGCCTTCTGCTCACCGGTCCCGGGGCAAACCTGGTGCCGACTGGGAAGTGAAGAGAGGGACGTCGTCACTATGTTGGAACACAACGTCTTCTACCATTTATTCATCTTCTATCTTACATCTTACATCTTTCGGGTTTCTTGTTTGCCATTTATCCCCCGCCTTCTGCTCACCGGTCCTAGGGAAACCTAGTGCCGACTGGGAAGTGAAGAGAGGGACTTCATCATCATGTTTGTTCTGCAACGTCCTCTACCATTTATCTTACCATTTATCCTGCCATTTCCCCAGCGACGGCTCGCACCTCATCGCGGTGCTGGGGTCCAGTAATCCTTCGGGATGAAGCCAAGACGAGCCTTTTTTTTTTTAAAAAAAAAAAAAAAAAAATTCCTGTTCGACTTGGGTTTTCTTTTCTCTGTAGTGTAGTGTTCTTCGTATGATGACTTCCAGGTAGGGCTTTATGGTCGCGTGACTTGTCTTTCTGTTTTTGTTCTTGAACTCCGTACTTGTCCGCAAGGGTTTGGTCTTTTGTTTCTTTGTATTACTAGGTAGTTATGGAATGATTGCAATGGGATGATTTGTTCTCGTTCTAATTCTATTGACGCGTAGACGCTAAGGTGGAAGATCAGACAAGACATGAGACGCCGAAGATGCAGAGGAGTTCCGACAGGACCAGAACAAAGACAGTGCTTGAACGCTTTGGAGATGAAACAGCAGAAATTAACATGAAGATCAAAATCAGAATGAAAAAAAAGGCAACAATGAGAGAGGACAGAAGTGTGTGCAATGAAAGAAGACGAAAGAATGCAAAGAAAGGTTGTGCAAGAAGCCGAGAAAATGCCAAAAGTGACAAGAAAGCAACCAAAAAGAGCACGAGAGACAAGAACCTCTCGGTCGGAAGAGCATCTCATTCCGATGTATCCTCATCCCTACCAGGATACATAATATCCTGACGATAGACCGCAAGACCATGATTCACAAAGACAAAGATGAACATGCAGACAATGCAGATAGTCATCGCAGAGCCAACACCTCTAATCGCCGCACTGTCAAAGGCATTTCCAAGCGTAATAGTAGCAATTGTGAACCCCGTATTAGGGAAAACCATTGCCCACCAGCTGAGATGGAAGTTCGTCGGCGGCGACCGAATAACCGCAATAGCAGCAACACAGAAGAACCAAAAGCTCAGCGCCCACAGGAACGCGCCCGCGGCCAACGCCAGTATCTCCAGCATCCGTCCATCAGCAGCAGTATCCGCACTCCCCATCACGTTGAATGTCTCGGGGAGTCCCTGCGCCATACCAACCAGAGCAAGCGCCGTGAAGGCCGGAGGTCCGACGCAGATGAACATCGCTGGTCGGTGTTCCCGACACGGAAGTCCACTCTCCATCAGCCGTCCGATGTAGTGTGAGTACATCATGAACGAGATGCAGAAACCTAGACCTTGGAAGGTCATTCCGGCGGTGACGATTGGGATTGCTGCGCGCTCGGGCTGGCGGGAGGAGATCACGGATGCGATTGTACCGCTGAGCATGATTGGGAAGGCGGGCAGGATCCAGGAGGGCATCATTGCTTGGAGGCGGTAGGTGCGCGAGGCGAAGAGGAAGGAGTATTGTACGACGGCGACAGTGAAGGTGCAGAAGCAGTATATCCAGAAGAGGACTTCGAGGGTTGTTGTAAAGGACGGGGCAGGGTTGTCGCCGAAGTACTTCTCCAGACCGGTGATCATTGTTGCGATGGAGAGCCAGAAGGTTGGGAAGAAGAGGCCTTCACGTTCGTGGCGGAGGGAGTTGAGGGCTCCGCCGTGGAGTATGAAGCGTGCTGCCATGAGAGAGCAGACGAGGGAGAAGAGGACAAGGTTGAAGAGGTAAATGGCTAGGCCGATCTCGCGGTAGCCTTTGAATTTGTTCGGCTGGTTCGCGATGAGGAGGGCTAGACCTCCGGCGCTCATGGTGAGGGTGTACCATGCCCATGTGAAATGGCGAAGGCGTTCGCGGAAGCTCAGTGGGTAGGGCTTCTGGCACTTCTCTGAGTTCATGAAGGGTGCGTCGGAATGAGAGGATGGTGGTGCAGATGGAGGAGGATGAAGCTCTTGGCTGTGATTAGGGTAGGCCCCTAGTAGAATTGGATTGGACATTGTGTGTGTATGTAGATTGGATGATTTGATGCAATGTATAGATGAAGCCCTAAGATTGGAACATAAGAAGAAAGGAGTATAGAGTGAATGTATTCAAGACACTATAGACCAATGGGTCATAGAAGCAATAGAAAAGTAAAGTCAAAGCAGAAAAATTGAGGTAATTGAAATGATAATGAATGTAATGAAGTGAATGAACTGGAAGGAGCGAGAGGGGAGATGTTAATATACGAATCCAAAGAGTATACAGGCATATCAATTCCACAATCCCATAATTCACTGAAGATCAGCCAAGAAGTTCCAAGACTCTACTTTTTACAAAAAAAATAGATTAGAAACTAGAAAGGGATTCTATACAAGGTAGAGAAGGTAGTCAAGGAAATGGAGTCCTTTAAAACGGACCTACCAGCGGTCTCAATCGGGCATGTTAGACCCCATAATTCGAACTAAGAGGAATCTATAAGAATAGATCGGCCCAGGATGTTGGGCTCGGACGATTCATCATACTCCAATCCGCATCAGGGGGGTGGCGGTTGGTTCCTCTAGGGGCAGTTCTAGAAACACTGTGATCCACTGCGGATCCGGGCAGGTTAGACGCATGTAGAGGAAAACTTCGATGCCTAGGGGGGTGGTTGTGAAGTCAAGGGCATGGGACTCTGCCAAGAACATGTAGAAATCATTGGGGCGTAGCGCCTTTTTTTTTATCCTCCCCCGGCGCAATCGATATAACCTGGTCCTTGAGGTGAAAGAGTACAAGGCCGATTGACAAGCTACTGTATAACCAGATTGTGTCAGTTCAACATATTCATCATTTGAATCAGAGACCTGTTACTCAGATGATGAATCTCAAACCCGAATTCCTTCGGCCCGACGGTGATTTCCTTTTTGTTTCACGCCGAACCCTTCCGATAGGATATATAGGAGGTATAGAAAAGTCTAAACCGGGATTCCAATGCGCGTCCAACGTGCCTAAACGCCAAACGCCAAGGACGAAGATCTACACATCGTTGACGGTCCGCTGCCAAGCTTCAGTTCGGTGGCTGTGAAGGACTAGGGAAATTGGTGAACCGAGGAATCACCAGGTAACACCATTGCGTGTATGCACAACGTACAACATAGGTGTCGAACCATTTCAATACATTAGTACACGCAATGATGAAGATCAAGGAGAGAAGTTGTAAAGTTGACGTTAGGTGGAGTTCGGAACGTTGACGTACTCGGAATTTCTTGGCGTTTTTTTCCCCTGACCTTCTCTTATCTTCACACAGCCCCATCAAAACAACACTATTGACACCATTCTCGCCAAGAATCCTATTCTGAAATGCATCTTTGTCGATCAGTCGATCATCCCTCAAGGGATTCCTGGGATTATCATTGGTGAATTGGTTGGCTTATCTTTCGCCAAGATGCCCAGCCTTGTTCTGAGGACATATGTGATGAAACTAATGAAACTCATGAAACTCATGAAACCCATGCAACGATGTGACCGAAAATCCACTTTCTCACAGTCAGGGTCTTCTTATGGAGTCGATGGAGTCGATGGAGTTCTCTATGGAGTCTATGGAGTCTATGATTTATCAACTCGGGATCCCACTGATCACCCGGAACCCTACATACAACCATGGATGGACAATATAAAAACCACTTCATTCAAAACAAAAGAGACAAAAGAAAAAGAAAAAGAAAAAGAAAAAAATACCAAGATCATGCAGAACAAAAGGAAGATAATGCAATGCACCTCGAAAACGACAAATTCAAATTATGCAAAAAAAAAAAAAATTGCAACATGCAACATGCAACAGAACGCCAGATCCTTCGGAACATCTTCAGGGCAGCAACGCATGAAATCATATATCAACTTGATGCAGAAAATCAGAAACACACCAAAACTCTGGGCATTCCAATCCCATATCCAATCACATCACAACATCCACTCACATCATGCGGTAGACAAGATCAGAGGCCAGCTCCGTCGTCAAATCCAACAAAGCACGAAGACTCTTAGGGGAAGTGGAAGTCTCAATTTGCTCCGTCTTGGCATCCATCGGCCGCAAAGAAGGTGTCGCCGAGACCGAATCCTCCGCCGAATGATACCGTGCCAATTCCTTCACGTTGCACGCCGCATAGTGAACCACCAGTCGGCGTAGCTGGTTCTCCCGAAGTTGCGTCGCGGATGTCGGCGAAATCGGCTCCAGTCGGGCCGTCTTGGTGTAGGCGTAGTGTACCAGCTCCAACACCATCTGCGCCTTGGTGGCTGCCAAGCCGTCTAGAATTTGGGAGTTGCCCAGATCGGCGGTTTCAAAGTTTGTCGATGACAGTAGGAGCAGGTCGCGGTGCAGCTTTCGGAGACAGAGCTGGGCCAGAGCTGGGATTAGGTACCGTGTGGCGAAAACGTAGACTTTTGCGTGGAAGGTGATGTAGGGGAGTTCGTTGCTTGGCGTCTCGACGGGGGTGGGTTTGGAGGTTGTTGGCTCGCCGTATTGTAGGGAGGTGAACTCGTCCCATAGGTTGAGGCCGGGCTCGCAGGGTGAGGTGGCCTGCTGGTTGGCAAAGGACATGTCGAGCATTGGTCGTTGGCGCTGTGCTTGGGTAATGCTGGTGCCTTCACTTCTGTCTTGAGTCCATGAATCTTCCATCGGACCTTCCGGAGCAGCTGGTTGTTCTTCTGCAGGCTCGGGCTCTTTGGATGCAGGTGCAGCTTCAAGTTCAGGTGCAGGCTCATCAGCTGGCTGTCCCCAGTTCTCAGTTGGCTCTGCTTCTGGTTCTGGTGCAGGCTCTGCTGTAGCCCATTCTTCAACGGGCTCTGCTGCTGGCTCTGGGACAGGCTCGGCAGCAACTTCTGGAGGTGGTGTGGATGGCGGCGTAAGGCTGACAGGGTCGGCTGGCGCGGGAAGTTCCTCTTCGACAGGCTCTGCTTGCTTTTTGCTTTTCTTCCCTTTCTTCCCTTTCTTCTTGTTTGCCTTGGGTTCTTCTGGTTCCCATGTCGCAGGTTCTTCAGTCGGAACAGCCCATTCATCGTCGGCAGGCACTTCCTCGGCTGGTGGCGCTGGGGCATTCTCCGCTTCGTGGTATGTCTCTGGCTCTGGCACCGGCTCTGTTACCTCGACTGGAGCCGACTCGACCTCAGGCTCTGGTGTAAAGGTTGGAGTAACCGATTCCTTGACCTCGACGGGCGCAGGCTCAGACACGGGCTGAGGTACTGGCGGCTCAGGTTCAGGTGCAGACTGGTGGTACGCTGCTTGTCCCCGATGACGAAATTGCGGAGGCGGCGACGGAGCTGGGGGCGGGACAGTCGACGACATTGAACCAGTCCGGTAATTCTCTCTCCAGGTGGCGGTACTCGGCGAGCTCTCGACTACCCCAATCTTGTGTTCTTCCTGGACCTCCCGCTCGGGACGAGGGACGTTATAATCACCGGTGTACGCATACTCGCAGAATGCGACAAAGGTCTCGACATCATCTTCTTCCAGAACGGCGATTCGGTGTTTTGATTCCCTGGTCGGACCGTTCATAAGATTATGGAGTGGTTTGGAGACATGCTCGGCGAGTCCCGACTGGATCGTCAGCTTCGTATGTCGTGGGCCGACAAGGAAGGTGAATGACGGTGAGTGGACGATACTGAAGATGTTGAATTAGCGGTCTACTTACAGTATATACCTGAGTCATAGACTGAGATGCGCTCTCCATACCTGCTAAAATTGGGAACAGACTCCATGAGAGACAGTTGACCTTCTATAGAAGGGGTGAGATGAAATTTATCTACGTTCTAACATGCAGGACAGTCCCATTAAATATTTTACCTTCAATTCCCGAGGCACCGGAGGCATTCTTGGGCAAAGATAGTAGTCTGCAACGTGTGCAGCTGTGATGGGGGCAGGAAGCATTTCCAGGACCCATTGTACTAACGCTAGACCTGATGACTCTATAAGATATGCGAAATGGGGCCAAAAGAGATTTGAATGTTGTCGTGGTGTCTGCTCGCCCTGCACTATTTTCTCGATGCCTGGCTTGTTAAACCCCCCCAATGCCAATAACCACCCTCCACCTGTTCATTTGAACCATTTGAATGAAATGCCGCCATCACCGAGACAAAAAAAAACAACGCAGAAGAACCATAGAGAGCAGCCATACAGAACGGCTGGTCATAACTGGATCCTGGACTGTCCAATTGTTGGGCGACGTTGGCGTCAGCAGGTTTGTGCCCAATCCCCAGCCTCGAGAGAACCCAATCTGTGGCCTCACTGGTTGGTTTGTTCCTGAGAGCTCCATATGAAATTTGAAGCTTCACCTACTCATTAAATTTTTGATTTGTCTTGGAGATATTTGCGACGTTTGGAATGTAGCGGTCAACAGTGACAACGATGCCCTAAAAAGGTACCTAATTTATACCGAGGTTGGATTAGCAATGACATCTACAGATATTTAAGATATTTATGGGTAGATTAACAAGAATAGGCATTTCAATCCTTTCGGGACTCTTCTACGACAGGTTGAATATATTCCTTGTCCCCTCTTTCCGAAACAAGCTTAATCGACTGTCCTATAGGGGAAAAGTACGAAATCTACGACTATAATTGGCGCCCTTGGAATATATCACCAATCACACCCTTCAATACATCCAATATTCTCCAGATGTCATATGTAAAAGAGTAGAGTCTATCCAGATATATCCAAAACAAAACATCTAATAATATACAAAATCAATCAACTACTATGCATCAACCGAATCTCCGTATTCCCAGGCTCCCACTCCCTTAACCCTTCCCCAACACTATACCAAAACCGCAGTCGAATACATTCTTTCCTCGCAGCCTCCAAATCCTCCTTCTCAAACGCCTTCCCAAGTCTCTCCACACAATCAACAACCCTCCCCTCATTCTCCTTCTTAAGCGCATTGATCTGCGCCTCCGCATCAGCAGAAGCCCCGACCTCTTCAATGGTCTCCTGCACTTCCATAACTTCCATCAGCGTCTCCGCATCAAGCGCATGCTTAGTCGACGCGTCTTCCGCCGTCACGTCGATCCCATGCCATTCCCGTAGAATGTACTGTGCCCGCTGCAACGGGTCCAGGAGTGTCCGGTACGCTTCGTTGATCCGCGCTGAGAGACCCTCGGCAAGCTGCTTCTCTGCTCCATTGGGGTATTTGTCTGGGTGGACCAGGCCCTGCAACTGGAGGAATTCGCGGCGGAGATCGCTGGTTGGGATTGCGAACGCCGAGCTGGGTGGTGGACCGGCTGGTAGCGTTTGAGGGAAGATCGTGTAGTGGTTGGTTATGTCTGGTGCGCCGGCGAGGGTGGGTTTGCTGGGTCCTGTTGGAGTAAAGGTTTCTGTTGAGGCAGAGCGGTGCTGTATCATGGGTGTCTGGATTATGGGAAATCGACGTGTTGGGAGGGTTGTGAGCCCTCGCGCTGGCTGGCGATATCGGCAGAACATGCATGCATCTTGGCTTATATTTGAGAGCGAGTTGGTTGGTCGTGAGAGCGGCCGTGGGGTTGCTGTGCGACAGAGATGCTGTGTAATTCTCTGTGGATGGAAAGCCATGACTATGCAGTATGTTTATGGCCAAGGCAAGGTCAAGGGAAGAGCTATCACTTCAAAGTTGATAAAAAGCCCTCGGCATACCGCTTTACGTCATCCCCGCATGACACGTGACCACTATACAGGAACAGACTACCAGGATATCGACACTCTGGATACTTTGATAAATCTTACATATGTATTCGGCGAATTACAGCTTGTTCTCTGAATTGTATGTTATTTCCAATTAGGAAGCATACGGCAGATAGTTGGAGAGCCAATGTATAAACCTGAATCATTCAATCCCCCAAAGCTTCACAGTACGATCGTGACCGCAGCTGGCAATCCACTTTGCATCGTCACTGATATCCGTGCTAAGGACGTTGCCCGAGTGGCCGCTCAGCGACTTCACCAGGGACCAGTCATCCGCGCTAAAAATGTTAACACTCTTATCAAATCCACTGCTCACGAAGAATGTGCCTGATTTCTGGGGCGAGGGCGCCTCCGGTGCTTTATCGGCAGCTGGTGTAGCACCATCAATGTCCATCCCGCCATCCGTAGAAGGTAAGAATGATGCAGACTCTACGCCCTTGTACCAGCGGAGGTCCGATACCACGCTTTTATGCGCACCAATTCCACCCGTCTCCTTCATCTGTCGCAAGTCCCAGCATTTGACCCAGCCATCACCGGAACCAGACAGTACCCGGTGACCATCAACGCCCCAGTCCATACCGTAGATCTCGCGTATGTGACCGTCGAGGATCATCACATTGCGTCCTGTCCGCAGATCCCAGATACGTCCGATGCTGTCGAATCCACCACTAGCCACCAGAGAGCCATCGTTGTTGAAAGCCACTGTATAGACCTCTCGCGAATGGCCTTCTTGTAGGAGAAGCTCGGTTGCCGTTTCAACATCCCACAGCCGCCATGAGCTGTCGAAGGATGCCGATGCTGCATATCGACCCGAAGGGTGGAACTCGGTACGGCATACACGGCCGGAGTGGCCAGTTAACGTAGCCAGCGGCTTTTCTTGGTCAAGAGCCCAGAGGTTGAGATTTCCTTCGCCGCCTCCGGAGATCAAATTGACAGTTGAGGGTGAGACATTCGAGCTGGGGAGAGTGGCGCCGGGGAACCACGACAAACCACCTACTCGATCCGTATGCGCCTTGAAACTCGCTTTTTCTTCCAGATTGGGTACGCTGAGCAATTTAATCCCACCGCTCCAGTTTCCAGCAGCGATTGTCTGTCCGTCCGGCGCGAATCGACAAATGCTTACCGGACGATCACCAGCAATCTGCGACCCGTAAAGATCAAATCCTTGTAACTTCTCCTTGACGGCTTTGCGATGCTTGATATGCGTTCGAAGTGTAATTGTTGATTCGTCCTTAAGCCGGGCCACGCGAGCCTTTGCGCGTGGCAGAGAATAGCGCGCAATATCTTTCCGCGCCTCGAGTAAATTGTTCCCTCCCTCTGTGAAGAATTCTTCTTGTTGTTCCCCTTCCTCCTCGGCTTCTTCCATTTCTATCTCGACTCCGCCTTGTTGCTCCGCCATGTCGGTTAACAGTTCACGCAGACGATCGCGTCGCTCTGATGGTCCTTCGCCGAATAGCGTAATTGGCTCTCCGAGCTCTCGTAGTCGTACGCGTACTCGTGTGTCATCTGTTGGAACCACCATCGCTGCTGCTCTCCGTTTCCGTTCGAATTGCGATAGAATGGCAGAGGCCCGCTCGGTTGGGATACCCCCTGCAGTAGAGGGCATATCATAGTCTTGGTCTGTGGCTATAACTTTATTAGTAGGCTTCAAATGAAAGCTGTTCGAGAACGACTTACGAAGATCGGCATAGCTGATGCCCCCCATGTCTGTGTCTTCTGTCTCCTCGACATAAGCTTGTCGCGCCGGGTGCATCATCTTGGGCAACTTAGAAGCTTATGCTTCTCCAGTAGCCCAAAAGGCAGATTAATAAAGATTCGGGTTTGGGTAAAAGAAAAGAATTGGGGTATCTTGTAGCGAAGTGAAAAAGGTTGGCGGGAGAGAAGATGTTGCGGCCGGCAGAATAATTGATAGACTTTGGCGGTAACGTGTTGAAGAGCATACAGGTGTAGGTCCGACCGAATTGTATATATTCGAGTCGAACTACTTATGAGAACAGTACTTGAACTCATTCTCTCTCCCTCTATATATATATTCTTCCTGGACCAATTCCAACCCCATACAATTTAACAATTTCTGCCTGAGAAATCTGGTATTAACGAAAAATCAATGACGCCAGGCGGTCGGACGATAAGGGCGGGTACTTGTCTTATCCGTTGAGATTCATTCAGCTCCTGGTTTTTTTTTGGCTTTTTGATTCTCTCTTTATACCTCTTGTTTCCTCTCTTCTTGTTCCTCTCGCTCTCAAATAGGAGACCCATACTCCACGAGGGAACTATACATAACCCCCTCCCAAACCTGAGATGATCCCGCCAAGTGTTTCCTGTAGAGCCTGCAGTACCGCCTGCAGTAGCCTACAAGCCATCGTTCGAGACGGCGTCTATTCAATCTCCACCAATCCGAGCACATACACACCCTCCCTGTTCAAAGCCCAACATGTCCGCTTGTCCTCTCACGCGGCAAGGATCAGACCAGACACCCGTCTAAGCCTGAATCTAACCCGCCAACCCTCCCGCCGAGCCTTCCACGCAACCCTAACGACCAACTTCGAAAAGCCCTCGCCCTCAAACCTCTCCTATCGCGTCGCCGTCTCATCCTCCGGCAAAGGCCGCCGCTTCCATCCCATCAAAAATGCATACAACTTCGACCCAACAGCAGACGCCCTAGGCGTCTCAAAGGACAAGAACTCTGTCAGTCGCCGTCGCAACCGCCCAGACTCAGGCGAAGACGCCTTCTTCGTAACTCGCATCGGAAACCGCATCTCAGACCACCAAGACAAAAACGCCGAAGCAGTCGCCTTCGGCGTCGCAGACGGTGTAGGAGGCTGGACCGAATCTCGCGTCGATCCGGCAGACTTCTCGCATGGATTGTGTAACTACATGGCGCAGACCGCGCAGACCTGGCATGAGCCTGCCGAGCGCTTGCGCCCGAAATACCTCATACAGGCTGGGTACGATCAGGTCGTGGCGGATCCGAACATCCGCGCGGGTGGAAGTACGGCATCTGTTGGCGTCGCGTTGCCGGATGGACGGGTCGAATTGGCTAAT